CAACTGCTAAAGAACGACAGCAAATAGGTAATTTATGGTATTCAAAATAGGAGGGGTACTATTTTCATTTAACTGTATGCACGCTTTATGCCCCTCTAATACTCCCGTTTTTAATTTCTTGATTACATAGCATTGAATAATAATTTCTAGTAGTTCATGATTTTTTACAGTCCAATATTTGAATGGGAATGATTTCAAATCCGTCACAAGATTCATAAGTTCCATTGAAGTAAGCCAAAGTTTTTTTGTTTTTTTTTATAAAAGATTCACTGAATTGTCTCAAATCTCAGATGACTTTTTCTCAATTTCGGTTTACCACTTTGTTCCCAGAAATTTCTTGAGATTAGAGTGAATCAATTCGCATTGCAATAACCATTCCGTATCTGTCTATATTGTCCTCATCTTTGTCGCCATATTTATTACAATGTTTCGGCCTTTCAGTACCTGTCTATATTTCTGAGATGAGGTATTATGTACACTATTTACATTATTCGGACTATTGTCCTCATCCTTGTCGCCATATTTATTACAATGTTTCGGCCCTTCAGTATCTGTCGATATTTCTGAGATGAGGTATTATGTACATTATTTACATTATTCAGACTATTGTCCTCATCTTTGTCGCCATATTTATTACAATGTTTCGGCCCTTCAGTATCTGTCGATATTTCTGAGATGAGGTATTATGTACACTATTTACATTATTCGGACCATTGTCCTCATCTTTGTCGCCATATTTATTACAATGTTTCGACCTTTCAGTATCTGTCGATATTTCTGAGATGAGGTATTATGTACACTATTGACATTATTCGGACTATTGTCCTCATCTTTGTCGCCATATTTATTACAATGTTTCGGCCCTTCCGTATCTGTCGATATTTCTGAGATGAGGTATTATGTACACTATTGACATTATTCGGACTATTGTCCTCATCTTTGTCGCCATATTTATTACAATGTTTCGGCCTTCATATCTGTCGATATTTCTGAGATGAGGTATTATGTACATTATTTATTATTCAGACTATTGTCCTCATCTTTGTCGCCATATTTATTACAATGTTTCGGCCCTTCAGTATCTGTCTATATTTCTGAGATGAGGTATTATGTACACTATTTACGTTATTCGGACTATTGTCCTCATCTTTGTCGCCATTTTTATCACAACGTTTGTTGTCATTAGAATAAGGCCGGAGAGTACAACGGCCGAAACGTTGTAATAAATATGACAACAAAGATGAGGACAATAGTCCGAATAATGTAAATAATGTACATAATACCTCATCTCAGAAATATAGACATATTATCAAGGATGATTTTATTTTTGCTTTTTAATTGTTTGTGTGTATGTTTCTAGAGTTATAGGGATATTTTTCCGAATACAGTCAACACATTTTGGCCGTGTTCGTAGATAATACTATTAAATGTTGACTTTTTGTTCATCTGATGAATTGTTAGTTCAGAACAATCTATGTAGCCGTATGGATTTACACCTCCTCAATTTCCTAATATGGGCACTTGGCAAATCACTGGCATTTGAATGGCGACCGGTAATCATCAACTTGATCATTATTTACTTGACTCTGGTACATAACCTATACGGGACTGTGTTGGAAGATTGTGATGCGCCAACCTTCCGAATTTTGATGCAACTGCGAGTAAAATTAGAAAGTTGGTGTTTCAAAACCTTGCTATACCTTGTGTAAAATCGTTTACATTACAATCATTATTTTGTTTTTTGCCGAAAAGTTATCAGAAATAAATTAATAGAAAAAACAAAACTACAACAAAAAAAAAACAAAAAAAAAATCAT